TTTTTCAACACTATCCTCTACATCAGTGAAAATTTCATTGAGATCCATTCCGGAGTTTACGCTACAAACTCTGACAAACATCTGTTAGGGATACACGGCTAGTTTCATTATATTATTATCCTTTCGTTTGCACTCACTGCTATCTAATTACTTATTTGTTTGAAAGGCAAAGTTCGTCTTGTAGCAATTCACAATTTATCCTAAAAGTGGAACATCTCGGATTTCCGCGACTATACCTTATCAGACGTACTTAAGAATTGTCACGTCATTATCTCAATCCTCTGAGATACTGCGTATTTTATTAGTCTATGATACGTTGCCGTGTCCACTTGTGTGTCTAGTTCAATCATATTTGTTTTTTATTAATGTTTTTATTATTATAAATGTAAAATGTGATCTAGTACAAATGTTTTGTTTATCTTCTTTCAATCATGTGCTGTATGAGTAATCGTGATAGAAAATTAACAAATGTGTAAAAATAAATAGAACTGCCATACAAATTGTTTTTAAAACCAATCTAACTTCGCTTAAAACTGACGTCATCGCTGAAAGTACACTCGCCGCGTAACTTGACATTACCATCCGGTTGGCTACGAAGTAGGTGACTCATGAGGCTTTATTTGCTTTGATGCGAACCCAAAAGATGCCCCTTATTAATGCTGTGACTTTGTAACAAATGTAATTGTGTTGATAGACCGTGTCTGTTATTTTGTCGAATAATATCAAAGAGTTTACATAAATTTGTAGTTATTTATTATTAAATTCATAATTTATTATTAAACTTTAGACTCGAGAAACGGCTTTAAACTCATCCTTACATATATTGCAACAAATACATCATTTCTAAACTCATCGAAGTATTACGAAAATATTACACTTTCGAATTAAAAACAGTTTTATTTCGACTCTTACTTCGATATCCTTGTTACCAATTAACAAAACGACATTTTTGCGACACCTACCTGCCCACAGGCGAAGAGAACGTGGGCGATGGACTAACTCGCCTTGAACATCGTGGTACCGGTGACAGTTGCATTGGGAAAGGATCCAATTTGGTAGCAGACAACTATACCACTAATTATGATGGTCAAAAGATCTAATTTTGCTTTCATTTGTAAATCAAAATCAGTCAATGATCTTAGAATTAACTGCAATTTTGTTATCCTTACTAAAGGATCATTAAGTTATCACTAAATTAGTCCCTTATGGTAGCTTTTAATAGGAAATAAACAGTAATCAGCAGCACATGTGCTAAGTGGCTTTAAATAAATAAATAAACAATCAATTGTTAAACAACTCCGGGTGCCACAGCTATCTTTACATGAAATCCTTAACACATTTTACCGTTACAACTCTGTACTCAATCGCTAAGCATCGAAATTCTTTTTAATTATTCCAAAAACCACATTTCTAGTTGAATAAATATTTAAACAGCGTATTTAAGCACAGGTATTACGAATTGCCTAGGTCATTGACTGCGAGAGCATGACTAAAATCCAAGCGCGTACTAAGTAGCCGCGCATGTTACGATCAAAAGAGAAATTAGGCCTTTTGGAGAAAGTACCGAAGAGTTCGCAATTCATTTGCATAAATAAACGAATTACACAACAAGATGATTCGTTTAGATAACAGCTTGTACATAATTAATCGATGCAACTTACGCATGTGAGTAAGTATACCACATCTTTAGTCATCAAGTAACTTGCTTACTTAGTCGTAACTTACACACATTACGTTTTGTTTTTTAAAACAATGTCTTTAAGACTTTTTGACTTGTACTTTTGGGTAATTCTGTCTTTAAAGCAAATCATTTTTTATATGTGTTCAAAAAAGTAACGTCTTTAAAGATTAGTCTCATTTTCTCCTCATTTTTTTAAATTCCAATTCAGTAAGAAAATTAAATCAAAAGCGAACGCATAAGATGCGAGGCGTGGATCCCTCGCTTACAGTTACGTGTAATGGCACCCGGCAAAAACGTAACTGCCGCTTTCTTGTACGGCTACTGCTTTCAATTAGTGCCCTCCTAAGAAACGTTGAATTATGACGTTTGTATACGTCGGAGAAAAACTTGTTGCGCATTCCTTACCCGGCCGTTTTATGTAATGTCCGGAAGTGCAGTTGTGCAGCGACATTGTTTATGATATAACGGGTGTGGTATCATAATTGATGTTCATATTGATGCTGTTTTTATATTTATCTAACAACCACCAATCACTATGACACCTGATTGCTTTATTGTTGACGGTTGTCATTTTTAATCAAGGGAAGATTGAAGGACCAAGAAAATATTTATTTGATAATTTTAAATATTATTATAGTAAAAAAGCTCAATTTCGTATTTTTTTGGTCAGTAGGTGCTGGCTTTTGTTTAAAATTAACTCCATCTATTGAAAAACATATTAAAGTACCATACACATTTCTACTGTAAATTAAATATAACATTCATATTGTTTATTGATACTAAAACTTTGTAAATCATTAAACTTGATTATATATCATTGAAGATTAATTTGTTTTGTTTACCCATTTAATTTTCATACTCCTAACTCCTACATACGGTCACGTGGGCAGTTTGACGCAATCAGTACACCAAACACATAAATATGAGGCACGAACAATAAACAATAACAGTCAAAGCATAAAGGTGCCCTTCCACTGCACCGTATAGACATTTTTATTCAAATCTCGCGCTGTCACTAAGCGTACATTTAATGTGCCAAATAAAAGACGATAGGGCTCATTAAAATGAGTAAATTAATTTCCAATTAGACTTTCCACCTGTTCAGTGATACATTTCAAACCATTTTGGTTATTTTTTCAAAATCAGAATTAAACTGATAATCCCTTTACAATTTCCTTATAAACTGATCTAAATATTAAAAAGAACAAATATTCGATTTTTATTAAACCAGCTTTATGAACTTCAGTGGAAACGTACCTTAACATTTCAAATGTATAAGCTAACCTTGGCACCTTTAAATGACCTTCAGGAACCATATTTAGTCTGACAGTTCTGAGGATGTGCAAATATTGATTTGTCATTCATTCATATTCTCGTTTCAAAGAATTTCAACTGTAGGCGAGAACCAACATTGTTAAACATCTGTTTCATGATTATAAAATACTTCATAACAACTAAATATATTCTATGTTAGGGGTGAAAGAATTTTTGGAATCGCTCTAGTAGTGTATTTTTAAGGTACAAATATCGTAATCAACCAACCTCAAAGAATGTAGTAGTATTTAAGTTTAAAAGTAAAGTAAAGAGTAAAAGGTTACCAAGTTTTGGGCATGTTATGAGAACGGATGAACCGCATGTTACAAGGAGAACGTTAGTTAGTGTGGAGGTACACCGGTAGAGGTAGACGCAGAAAGAGATGGATGGATTGCGTGAAAGATGATATTATCAAGAAGGAAGTGTTGACTGAGATGAGGTTTGATAGTTATGTAGAGGACAAAAACTTGTTGCGCTACCCTTCGGGACTAGGAGAAAGATGATGATGATCTTAAGGGTTGGTTAACCCTTAGTAGGCCAGTTTGGATGACTATGTCCTAGGTACCTCAATTTTTTCGTAGGCTCTGAGCCCCTCAGTGACCACGTATGTGTAGATTAATACATATTATATTATGTACATAGTTTGTTACATATGTAAACATATAAAAATAACAGCAAACAGCGATTGTATCAACGTGTTTTGTTAGCACGCTTATCGTGGGAGATGTCTTAACGCCCAACAAGCAACCGTGGGAATTCGTTATCAAAAAAATGCGAATAAAACAAGCATAACAAAAATATGTTGTTTGTCTATACTTAGTACAAGGAGATCTAAAGAATGAAATTTCATTTAATAAATTACTAATGCATTTTAAAGTTGCCTAAACCTAGGTCTTGTCCACGTCCTCTTACCACCGGTCTAAATATAATTCAATATTAGTTAATCTTAATAAATGTAACTGTTAGTTTTCTTTTCAAAGTTTGTATACAAGTTTAGTCAATGTAAGCCTACATTAACAAGCAATGACTGATGACACTGAACAAAGTAAACGTTGCGACCCGCGATGTAACGACCCCTGCCCGTACTCGTAGGTCGAGTCGTGAGGTCGCGCGATGAAAGTAAGATTGTACCGTTCCCATCCCGCGCTGTCACTAAACTCGCCCCACTAATGTACAATTTATGACTCCAAATCATCTTTCGGAAGTATTTTCTCACACATTTTATGGAAAACAGAAGCTTTTGCACGTGGCTCTGTCACTTTATCATATATTTTAGAAAAAAAAAGTAGCTTATGTGTTTTTTCAGACTATCCTCTACATCTATGCCGAATTTCATCAAGATCTGTTCAGCAGTTTAGGCTACAAACTGTAATAAACGTCCGTCGAAACTTTTGCATTTATTACATTAGTATGAACTATGTTACTTTTAGCGTATCAAAGTTTTTAGTAAACATGTCTATAAAATACTGTCAACATTTTAATTAATTACTAGTAGTAACTATCAAGTAATTTTGTAATTAGAATTTGTTTCCATTTTCATTCAAAACTTGCATTCGTTGCATACAACGTGACTTGTCGGCAATCTAATGGATTTCTGTCATCTCAAGAAATAGTTGTTATTTATTTAAACGTATGCGTTTAGCATGTTTATTGAGGATACCAAACCAGATAAATGGAACGCGGAGTTCAAATCAATTTTAGAATACCATGAGACTGATAGTTTGTAGTTCGTAGCTCATGACCAAAGAAGTTCATCGAACATTTGATTTATCAAACTCTACTCCGATTAAAGGCATTATTTAATCGCTAAGGG